AGGTCTGCATTCAAATAATGTTTAACTGGACTGGGGATTAGCAAATAAAAGAATTGAGATGATCCCACACAAATGAATGATAACAAAGCCAAAACCTCAGCTGTAATGAGCTATTGAATCTTATCATGCTTCTCAAAATTAGGGAGATTCTTGATTTGTCCTCATTTCTTTACATCTGAAATGATGTAAGAGGAAGCTTTTAGCTATACCTGTGAAATTACATGTACCAAAACTGCCAAGTTGGTAGTTGAGAAGCAAAATAAACACCTCAGCCTGAAGTGTTTACTCCATTTTTCTGTAGAGAAACAAGTGAGTCTAAGGAGTGCTGCCACATTGGAAAGGCTAGACTTCCTTACTGCAGCTTGGAAATAAGTGTAGATTTAAAATGTTCCAAAGCATTTCCTGAAACAAGAATAATTTTCGAGTTTTCAAGTAATTTAAATTTTACAGACTTTACTTCTTACTCCTGGAAGAAGCTCTCTGGTACTTGATGAGCTCACAACCCAGTGATGAGAGAGAAGAAAGGATGTGTCCATTCATTTGTTCTTACATGCAGATTTGATCAGTCTTTCTCCTTTCCTCCTTTTTACTCTTTCTTTGCTGACAGGCAAAAATGAAGTTGTTGTCACTCCTGAGCAGCCTTTTCATTGCCACTTATATTGACCTGAAGTTCATATCTTCCGAAGTCCAAGCAGTTGAGATGCTCACCAGTGGGTTTTGTTTAAAGAAAAAGAAAGGCAAAATGGTTTCTCTCTGGATGTATCAGTTCAGCATCAAGGAGTGGAGGTGAGGAGTCTTAGAGAGGAAAGGACATGAAGCTGGGAATTGTTTTGTTATGTAACAGATTGCCACTGGGGAAAGGAGGAAAGGGACAACTGTGTTTAATTCCCTTCATGAAAAGAGAGATTCATTAGGTATATGTTACCCTTTTAATAGTAAAATTAATGAGATCAGTCAAGGATTTTTTAGCAGTTAATTGCTAGAAGTGCTAGTTCACAGAATGTGGGTGCTGCCACTGGTGAGCTAAACACCTCAACTAGCCTCATAGAAAGACCATGGGTGGATCCCAGTCCTGTTGTTCCAAACTGATTGTGATGAGACACAAAATGTGACACCGGTCTTAATCACTGTTACATTTATGCCAGTAATACACACTGTGAAGCCTGGTGGAGAACATGGCTCATAGAACAGCCAAAGGCTTAAAGACCAAGTTACAGTCATCTTTTCCATGTACACAGAACAAGAGAGCTCCTACCAGGGAAAGCTTCTATGCACCATTTGAGATTCTCCTGAAATAGCACTGGAAAAGCTCCAGGGAAGTCTGTAGAAATTACACAAGGGATTCATCAGTTTGACAAGCCTCATCTCTGCAAGGTTTAACATGGCAAACACAAAGGCAGCAACAAAAGTAAAAAATCTATTTTCAAACAGGACTGTGGTAAGGAAAATATTCCCAGTCTCTTTAAAAAAAAAAATAGTAATAAAAAAAGAAATCACATTATGGATACTTATAGTTGTCTTCTGATGCCAAGGCATTCACACTGGCTTAGTCAAGGTTTTCTTCACAGTCACTGTAATTAAAGACTAATGCTCTCATGTTGTATCTAAACAAAGCAAATTTTATAGCCTGGAGCCATAGCAGTGACCCTAGGTGTGCTGCCAAAGCCATGCAGCCCATTTTGGTTCCACAGCAAACTGAAGTAGAGAGGAGAAACAGTGCAAAAAGAAGTCACAATCCAGCGTGGAGCTGGGCAGGCACAGCATTCCTGTGCAGGCCTTGGAACTAGGAAACGCTCCTCTCAAGAGCACTGTGAAAACTGCTGCTTCTAATAACAGAAAATGAGGATATGAACTGGCAAGACCCGAATTATTTTCCTACAATGTATTCCTGAAGCCTTTGCTGTGCTGCATATCTGTAAAGTGCAGCTACTGTGTGGGAAAGCTACAACCTTCCACTGCATTTGGGCAAGTCATTCCGAATTTACCACTTTTTGCAACAACAAAATTTGATCAGATGACTCAACACATCCAGGAAAACTGAAAAGCAAAGGAGAATTAAAAGGAACTGATGTAACTTTAGGTTATATCAGTTCAAGTCCCATATTCTTTCTATACTTAAGCAAAACTCCAGTTCAACTGCAGCAATGAATACAAGCTCAGGACTTCGTTGTAGATGTTGTGAGACACACTGAAACCTTCTGAAGAACTCCCAGCTATACAGTAAACCTTTAACTTAAATGATCTGTCAGTTATTGTGGTATTCCAGAGAGAAAGAAGCAGGGGAAAAAAATAATCAACTCTCTGAGGCTTCTTCCCTAGGGTGCAGTTATATGGCTTTTATTATCCACACAGTAACTCATATCTGCTGTTGTTAAGTTTGGTGCATCATGAAGCAAGCTGTTAATGGAAATGGTTTTTTACAGTTTTCTATTTTGGAAGGGAAAGAGGGCTGTCATGAAGACACGGAAATTTATCAAAGCTCGCTACAGATAACTGAAGTGTTGCTTATATGTGTCCATCTTCTGCAACTTCTCAATACAATGGCCAGTTACAATGTTGCAGGTTATGCTCCCTTCGTCTATGAAACGGACTGGACAACTGCATTTGCAAATACAGCCCAGCCTCTTGAGTCACTAGCACTGTACAATTCCATTTCCTCATACAGACTGATATTTTGTGGTGATATTTCTGCTTTCAAAGATTAATCAAAAATCTACGGAAAATATAGAAACTCTCAAGACAAAAAGGACATCTGCCTACTTACTACTACTGCTCTTGAAGCACTTAAAACTCCACTTTCTTTTCCTGAGGGCACGCGTGAGCTACATGGACCAAGGGCTGCAATAATTCACTTTTACAGATGAGAATGACTTGCAAATGTCCAAGAACTGTCTCAAATAATCCTTATGTGACTTCAACAAAACAGCCTAAGTAGGACAAACTGATGGCCCTGAGAAATAATAATGGGATCAATAACTGCAGACAGATTAAAATGCAGTCTTATAACTACCCACTGGAAAAAGTCACTGGGAGATGGAAACAACCTCCCAGTTTGTTGAAGAATCACCAAAAAGACCTACTGTACAAAAAACCCACCATCAATTGGATCAATTAGCTTGTCCTTTACTGAGCACCCTGGGCTGTATGCAGTCACTAGTCTAACATTGCTGTCTCTATTGCTCGTGCTGCATTGATGCAAATCCACTTAGCTAAGGTAATAAAACTCTTACGAATTTCAATAAGTTCAGAATAAAGTTCAATTTCCTGTGTAAACATGAGCTGAAAGGCATTTGTAGGCATTGCTGCACTGTGCCTCACAGTACCTCTATTTACTGCAGTAGCTCGAATTTTATTCATCTTTTCCTGACTCTTCCAAAGGAAGAAGTGACACATAAAGGGCGGTAATATTTTCACCCTCCTGCTAATAAAACATCAGCAGATGCATATCGAAGTAGGAACGGCATGCTTGACTTTTGTGATGGTGAGCCAGTAACACATAAGCTGTGTTATGAAACAAATGCAACACAACCTGAATGTGAGGAAGCACGAAAAAAAAGCCACAACCCTGCCCTGATGTTTAGGATGACAGCAACGTGAATAAAATGTTCCATGTGCCAAGCATTAGGAGCCCAGTCCAACTTTCTCTGAAGTCAACAGGAAAATTCCAGTAACTCAATGTTATAAAACCCAGAAACATGGCACAACTGTGGTAATGCCACTCGTAAGACACAGCTCTCTGTCTGACTTCGATTCTTACTGAATGAGAACCAAACTCTCTATATTAAAGATCCCGTATTACATGAGAGCACTGAGCATTAAAACCTATTCGCACGCACCAAGCAGCTGAGACTGCTTTCATCAGATTCATGGTAGTTGGAACTGAGATGTAAATACACACTTGAGGATCTTCATTTCAGCACAGTACTTCAATAAAACTGCTTTGGCTGTCAAAATAAAATTTATTCTAAGCAAGTTATCTTTGCTGCTTTTTTTTGGCTCCCTCTCTCCTTTTCTGCAAAACAGGCAGTTCTTCAGGACTCCAGGCCTCTCAGATTCTCATCATTTATTGAAAATCTGCCTGAAGGCTGAATACAGAAGAATGGCAGCAGTGCTGGTAAATAACTAGCCTCTCTTGTTCTGCTGTTACAACTGCAGCATTAGCATCATCTGAATAGTTTCTAGACCAAATCGAGAATCCTAGCTCTTCCAAAGGTGGGACTGAAAGCAGAGACACAAATGGCTCATGACCCAATGGAGGATTTGTCTGAAGTGTGGCTGTACTGCTGCCCATGGACAGGCACAATCAAACTGGTTGCCTTATATTTCTGGTCCAAATAAATGCCAGTAATATTCATCGCTTAATCTGACTTCTGAATGTAAAATATCTGGGGGATTTTATTTTTAGTTCTTTGTTGCATTTTTTTGGTTTTTTTTTTCCCCTGCATGTTATTCCGTTTCTGAATTCAATCATACAAAATACATTATTCTTGTTTGCTCTGGAGAGAAGTCCTAAATGGCTCTAAAGTCCATCAGGGAATAGCTGATGAGGAGTCCACATATTAAAGTCCACAGACACTGAAAAATTTCAGTTAGCTGGGACTGCAGGGAATTATTCACATCTTCTTTCTATTTTACAACTCAGCAAACCAGAGGGAGAAATAAAACTCCACCAACACAAACAAAACGCTCAAAACCCTGTTTCTTCTTTCCTGTTACTTGTTCTGCTGACGATCTATGAACGTACCCATATAATTTCACAATTTCACCTGATATTTCCCCCTGGGCCCCCCATATCCCCATTATCCCGTATTCTCCTCTAAACCAATCTGCAATTTGACATTTCCAGACAACCTGGGTGACAGCAGCGGATGCATAGTGTGTGGGAACTGCTGAGTCAGGCCTGAACCTCTGATTGATCACCTGAGGTGAGCCATGAGTCAGCCAGAGGAGCACAGCTGAAGGCAATTCTCCTGTGCTGCTGGAAGCTCCTAGACCCATTTAAGACCTGGCTACCAGTAGAGAAGGATCTTTTCTGGTGATCTGCTTTGCTGGTGTTTTGTGAGCGAGCCCAGGATAGGGGTAAGCCTTCTATTGAGCCTTCTATTGATTCTCTTTGTTATCATAGTCTGCTTTGCCTAACTCTCTTGTTTATTTTGTGATTATAGTATCCTAATATTCTTTGGTTAAACACATCGTGTTAGGTGGATGGTTGGACTCCATAATCTTCGAGGTCTTTTCCAGCATAAATGATTATATGATTTTATCACTTTCTTCCCTTTCATTTCTATTCATCTTCCCTGTGTTTTTCTTATCAGCTAAGTCAACCAGGTCATTTTAGAGCTTCAAGACCTCAGCTGGGCCCAAGCAGCCTCCCTGGCTGAAGGTTGTTTTTTTTCTCTCCTACATATATATATATGTGATACTGTCTGAATGTTGGTTAACATTAGTGATGTTTCTGTAAATGCTTCCTATTGTACCTCGGTTACTTCATTTCCTTTCTATCTAGTTTATGTTTATTCAGGAGTCTTTTTCATAAGATATCTGCAGTGAGAAGACTACCTGATCTCTTTTTTGAGCTTCCCTTTATAAATGCAAAGTCAAGGAAACGCACCTTAGTGAACACAAACTGGGACACTGCTATGAGCTATCAATTTGTATTTCATCTTGTTATGCTCAAGCAAGATTCTCACATCCATTGAATTATTCAAATGTATCCATATGATATAAAAAACCCAGGAGTCCAGCACCAGAAAACCACTGAAATGAGACAAAATGAGCCAAGACAGAGAGACACTTAGGAAAGAGAGAAGAAAAAGTATACCTGAGAACAGTAGATCCCCAATCCTAAATAAGGAATCTGAAAATGCAGGTGCATTTGATGTGTAAAGTGACTGAATTACTAATGGCCATATGAAACGCTGCATTAAATATAATTGCTAGCTTACAAAATGTAATTGTATGTGAATAACATTTTGAAGGCTGCCCTCACTTTTGTCTAGGAAGCTCAGTGTGGTCACTAATCATCAAGCAGAAATGGAGACACAGAGGGCAAAGAGCATGTTCTTGGCTCACGCGGGATGAATCCCCCTGACTCAGGCTGGTCTCTGTATTGGCTCTGTGCAGCACACAGCAGTCACAACAGAAGGCCAAGCAGATTTGCCAGGCACCATAAGCTTCCCTGCCTACGGTCAGTGCCTTTACCTTCCTTTCCATTCCTTGAAAGGTAAGTTTTCTTTGGTAGCCATCTGAGACAGAAAGTACATTTCTTTCTGCTGATCAACAAACACACTAAAATCAGGAATTAGGATTTTCTACAGTATGCAAACAGTATCAGAATATTCAGTGACACCTAATTGGCAAAGCAGCCATAACCAAGATAGTTTCTGATTGAAAGGTTTCACAGCAGGTCTATTTTGCCCTTTCTAAAAAACATATTCCAACTTTGTTAAATATGTTCTCAGTACATGGGATACTAAAGAAAGAAATGTTACTATCCACTATTTTATTCAGCATGCCTTTCAGTAGTGAAAAGAAAAGGGAGCCTGAGAGCAGGGCAGTAAGCTGCACTCATGCAGAAATTTGTTTCCCTGAGATCTCAGGGAGGGCAATCTTTGCAACAACAGCTGCCATCACACCTCCCATCTGCAACCTGCTTTGATCCCCAGAGGCATGACTGTCAGCTACTCAGCCTTTCCAGGGGAGAAAGAAATGATTCCACAGTTCCACATGGCAAGTTTGATGCGTATCCTTCACCTGATGTGCCAGTTCCAGACTGAGCAATCAGTTATCTGTACGAGTGGATCTTATTCAGGGTGCTTTGAAGATCAAACTACAAACTCTGGGAGAAAGAGCAAACAACAGATGCACTACAGGAGACAGCTTTTAGTGTTTTGGCAGAATTAGCTATAAAGTCATTTTAAATCAGACTCCATTACACTTGAAAACAAATAAAACTCATCCAAAAATTTGAAGATATGATTGATTTTTTTTCACATATATTGTAGATTCCCTTATCTGAATACATTACTGTTCTGGATCACAAGTTGTTCATCCTTTTTGGAGTGGATAAAGTTGAAAAAATGGCTGCTAAAATTCAGAATAACATCTTTCTAGAAAACTCAGTTAAAATGAAATGAATTAAGGAGCATTTAATCATCAGACCCTAGATTTCATTTGTATTATTTTTAATATCCAGTTTCTGCCATTGCTTGTTTTACTACTTTCTTGTATTTCTCCCCGTGACTCGTTTGCAAATCTGAAGCATTTCATTTTAAATGTTTGTCTTCTGGAGATCAGTCATATACTACGACTACAGAGACTGACAATCTCTTCAGCACAATGTCACTTCCCTTCAGAAACATGAGGTTTTATTCTCCACTCTCTTATCTTTCTGTTATTCCCGTTAGTTGTATGAAGTTAGTCTTTATTCTCATCAGCGTCGATGAAGAATCAATTCAATGATTTCCATGCTTGGTGATGAATGACACTTGGGAACAACGGATTGCAGACTATTTACATGTGATATAGTAATGGTATATCGTGAGCAAATGCTATTTTAAAGGGAGCTTGCAACTCCTGCAACAGCAATGTGTTCCTGACTGAAAAACAGAAAGTATCAGACCACAGGACTAACATGAAGAACAAGAATAGTCTGACTATTTCAAAAGCAGAAGTAGACTTGCAAGAATGGGTTAAAAGTGTACGCTGACTGCTCTGAACATGTGCTTATTTGTCTCGTAAATCAAAACATAGTTTTCTATGCTTTTTTTTTTTCCCCTTGCTTTGATACTGAGCCAGTGACTTCCTGCATTGCTGTGATGTCCAGCAAAAAGCCTGCTGGGATATCACAGCTATTCAAGAGTGAGCCCACACAGAGTGGCAAGTGTCACTGGCATCATGTGAAGCGATCTGGATGGCTTCAAAAAGGTACATTTTTATCTTGTTGCCCATGTGACTTCTTTGGCTGTAGATGTGGTGGTCAGGCTGGGTAAATTAAATACTTGTGTGAGAAGAAACAAAACTCTATGAAAACAAAGCCCAGAACATTCCTTTCCTTGATGTCCTCCTTATAGTAGCACAGTACAGATGAGTCTGCCTGGTTGGGATACTGCATCCAATTTGTTGTTGTTGTATTCCTAAGAATACAGAACTGTCCTCATAACTTTACTTAGCAGCTTAAGCAAAACACTTCTCTGAGACTATAAAAGAGGCTTTGCTCCATGACAACCTGACTGAAATGTAAGCTTTTTCTGTTTATTTCAGCATAATTTCTTGATGGCCAAGAACTTGATAATCTATAATGAGAGCGAATGAACTTCCAGTCAGAGATCTAATGTTAGATCTCATAGGTGGTAATTTGAACTGAATATCAGCAGATAGGAGTCTAACATTACTTGATCTTATGATTGCAGTCATAAAGCCAAGTTAGAAACAAGCGTTCTTTTAGCTTATAATTCACTAAAAACAAGTGAAAAGAGAACCCCAGAGCTTCTGAGTCCATTCATCTCAGCAATGCTTCACAATTAGACTTAGGCTGCTGCCTAGAAATTGCATGTGTTCTGCTTAGGAGAGGTGCTGATTCTACACTAGACAGGCACTGGAACACCGAGCAAAGTTTTCCAGGCTGAGAGGCACATTTAACTCACCACAACTGGATGTGGACATTGTCACAAACCATTAATTTCTCTTCAAGTAATCCTTATTCGTTCTTTAACAGTCCAAGGAGAAGGATAGTCTGAGCCATATGCTCACTGGGCTTCTTTCCTACTGCTCAATCTTACTAGCTGTGAACTATTTTGCAGTAGCCATTAAGAGCTATTCAGTACTGAGTCCAGAAAGCAGCTCCTACAGTGAACTTGTGGCTGCATTAACTGCGTGCTGGGTATCTGAAAACCAGAAAGCAAAAGGTAGTTGGGATGTCTGTCCCACAGACAAGAGAAGAAACAATACATACGACAGAGTGAAGGAGCAACAGTGAGAATCTGAGAGCCTTGGAGACAAGAAAAGAGAAAAACACATCTCAGGGACTAAGGGAATGGCATCACAGCGTGTCTGTTGAGGTGTGGATCTTCTGTGGCTGCAGATGCTTTCTGATCAGAAAACACCAATAGTCAAAATGGTGGAAAAGGAAGAGGGGGCGGAGGAAGGCAGAGAGACTCTTGAGGATGGAGACAATGGAACATGGGGGAGGGAAAAAAAAGGGGGGAATGTAAAACAGGGAAAAGAATTCAAGGCAAGCAAAATTACAGGTAATGGGAAAGAAATCAAACTGTTGTGAGTTAAAATCTGGAAGGAAAAAAGGGATCTTTAGGAAGGAAAAGCTGGGAAGGGGAGGAGGACGAGTTGCTCTGTATGTGAGAGAGCTGTGGGAATGTGTGGAGCTATGCTTAAGGATGGATATAAACCAATTGAGAGTTTTCAGGTTGGGGTTTGGTTGGAATTAGTTTCCAGCGCAGAATATCTTGGGCAACATTGCAGTGGCTATCTGCCAAAGACTTCCTCATAATTAAGAAGTAGTAGATAAGATGTTCTTAATGCAAGTAATAGTCCATGTGTATACCTCTAAGCTCTCCAGAGGCTCTGGGTGTGTAGTTTTGCTACCAGAGTATGCTGAAACTTCCATCTTTGTCAGCAGCAGTGGCTACATTCAAGTTACAGGAAACATGGCTAATGAGTCAATAGACATGACTTTATTCTACCCAGTATTCAGGCACACTAAAGGGAATCTCAGAACTGATCCTAATGATCTGGTTCAGATCATCAGAACTGGAGCCTAATGGGAATCCTTCAACTGATTCCAGAAAGAGGTGACTAATAAATGCTGCACAATGATGCTCAAGGCAAGCTCACTGTGCAATATATTTATAACTGGCATTTTAGAAATCACAAGGGGCCGTGAGTCATGTCCTGACCTTAACAACAGACTCACGCACGCAACCATTTCATAGAATCACTTTTAATGACCAGGATCCAACTAGGTCTGACTCTGCCCTGCATTTCTGATGTTTCAGAGACCGACTCCACCCATGATTCCAACATCAGCTGGAACAAGTGATCAAAGTCAGCCAAAAGACTGATACGTGTGTTAAGAACAGAAACACCTCTGGATTCCTGCCTACCCCGATGTCAGAATGCTTACTACCTTATAAAAGAACGGATGTCCTGGTAAAAGAGGACAAAACCACAAGGCAATGTTATTATTTAATTATTAATACTATCATGAGATCAAGCCAAATGCTTTTGACAGCTTCTCTCATAGACTGTCCTGCATTATGATGAGGAGAAGTAATGAACCTTTTAGCAAGGACAGACCAAGCTCATGTATCAGAGAGGAAAGGCAGCACAGCACAGGTGTCATTTCTTACATTACTTTCTTTATTAAAATAAAGTACTTGTAAGGCTCTGGGTGGTTCCACGTTAATGCTTGCAGAGAGGACAGATTCCAAGAAGCAAATTAACATATTTTCAGTGATTCAAAGCAACGAAACAGAATGATTTTCCTAAATAACAGTGTGGAAAAGACAAGTGATAGATGCTAAGACAAGGGATCCAGGTAGATGCGCGTAAATGTGACTGGGACTGCTGAAAACCTGAAGCTCAAGTAACGTACCAACAATTCTAATAGAGAAATCTGCCCTCATCAGTCTGTGCCCATAATTAATTCACTCTGATCCATACATGTTGAGAGGATGGCACCTGCTAGCTGCCTCCACTACCTCCAGGCCCTGCCTTGCTCTGCTTGGAGTATTAGTTAGGCATGATGAGGGAAATGAATAGAAGTGTGAGGCAGGTAAGGAAGAGGCAAAAGGGAACACAATGATTTGCACTGACATGGGAATTAGTCGTATGAGGGGGAAAACTGAAATGAGTTCCTGAAGGATCCTTTTTAGCATGTGTCTTGCCTTAATGTTTTTGTCCATGATGTGGTCAGAAACTGAAGTTTGCTGATGAAGATGGGAAGCAGCACCAGCCAAGATAAGAACTAACACAGAAAAGTACAGCCCATCTCAACATAGAGTGCTTTCCTCAAAAGCAAACAGGACAGGCATCCCTAATAATTTTTTAAACAAACCGTTTTTTGAAGGTGAAAACTACAAAAGTGAATACACATCAAAGTAGACTCCAAAGGGAAAGAGTCTCCTTTAGACATACAAAGCAGTGCAGAATTTGCAGTATAAATAGAAGTATGGAATTCCATGGTAATTTTCAGTCATGGTATCGTTGTAAAATCATTCACTAACCAAGTCTGTCTTGGAGGACATTTACCTGACTTCTGGGCCATAGCTGCAATTTATTACATAGCATAGCATGCTTGCTTTTACCTCATTCAGTTAACAGTGGTCTTTACGTAGGTTTTAAACCCAATACAACCTTCCACTCAGACTCCCAACGCTCTAATATTCTGGCCTAAATCTGTATTGAAATGTTATTTTTAAGGCTGGGATGAGAGTAACAAGCCATCACCTCGCAGATTCCTTTTTGTCCTCCCTGAAGCATGTATCTGAAGCATTGCACAAAACAGCCTCTAATCAATCCTGAGCTAGGGGCCAAGCAGCAGGAGTCCAACCCATGGGTCAGTGAAGGTAAGTGGTAAATTTCCATTTGCTTCTGTAACTACACGGGGATTTTACAGAAACTTTGGGCACTCGGACAACCTGCGCTCTTGAGAGAGACAAAAACTTTCACACTGCTCCTCAAAAAAATGAAGTCGTGGCCGAGTTTGTGGTGGTAGCACTACTTCACATCCAGCTTTCACACAGCTGTTCTCATGGATCAGATTCCTTTT